GCCCCGCCTGCCTGGCCTGGGCCTGGAGGTTTCGGGGTGACTCAGTGGGCCCAGGGAAATGGGTCAGCTCGGGGCACCGCAGGCCAAGCCCCAGAGGGTCTCTGCCCCCGAGGCCATGGGAAGGAGGCCCGGGGCTGAGGCCTGGGGTACGGCGCCCAGCACGGTCCCCTCCTGGGTACGACTGGGGGGTCACACTGGGCCTGCCTGTGTCACAGCAGCCCTGGAGGACACGGGACCTGTCCTGCTGTCCCCAGACCCCTACCCTGAGGCACTGGGCCTGGTGCGCTGTGCCATCTTGCCACTCCCGTCCAGGGTGAAGAGGGTCCCCAAGCTGCATCTGGCCATCACTGGGCCACTCTGGGCCTGGCTCGTGCCAGCCTGTGGCCCAGGCAAGGCCCTGGTGGCTGTGGGGGACCGGTAGGGCCTGCCGTGCCTGTGTCACCTGTCCTCGGCACCGCCTCCACCCTGCCACAGGCCAGGGACCACTGTCCCCCTGCTGCCTCCCACACTGGGGCAGCCCCACTGGGTATTTTTAGACAGGGCAGGAGCGGGTGGAGAGGGAAGAACAGTGGGGCCCGGCTCTGTCATTGCCAAGGAATTTGGAGAATGTGGCTGTTCTGGGGAGGCTGAGGGGTTGGGGGGACTTGAGGCTCAGACATCCGACCCTGTGTCCATACCTTGCCCCCCCGCTGGCCTGGTTCCCCAGAGGAGCCGTGGTGGTGAGTAGGTTCCACTCCCACTAGGCGGGTGTCATGGCAGCCAGGGACGCGGGGGTGGCAGGGACAGGGTGACATGCTCGGTGACACAGGCTGTCGGGGTGGGAGACAGCTGAAGGCCAGCCCTGTGCCTCTCTGTCCCTCCCTTCTGTCCATCTGTCCTGCTTTACTGGTGAAAGGAAGGCACCAGTCCAGATTTTGTCCACATCCGCATGGGGACCTGCTGGGCGTCCGCCCAGGAAGGAAGCACTGCGGGGTCTCAGGGTGACGTACAGGCCAGGCCCCTGGGCTCCGCATTGCAGCTCCCCCAGGTCCTGCAGGCAGTGGGGAAACAGCTTGGGGAGCTGGGGAGGAGCAAGTGGGGCTGGAGTCATGGGCCCCTCACGTTTTCTTACCTGGTCCAGGTCGGAATGAGCTCATTGCCCGCTACATCAAACTGAGGACAGGGAAGACGCGGACGAGAAAGCAGGTAGGGGGAGCAGAGGGTGCTGCTGCAGCCCCCATGCCCTCGGAGCTGCCACCGCCCCCCCGGGCCTTCAGGGCAGGACACACAGGGCTGCCCGGCCCCTACCTGAGTGACCTTCCACAGAAAGGGAGGCGGACACACAGCACAGTGGACAGAGCGGCCAAGATGGAGAGTGTGCAGGGCACTGCCGGGCAGACGCACACCTAAGCAGACGGCCTGCAGGCCCAGCTTGGGCAATTTACTTTGTGCAGTCCTGTCTCAGAAAATATAAAAGGACTAGGATGTAGCTCAGTGCAAAGGCCCTGGGTTCCATCCCAGTCCAAAAAAGAAAAAAAAAAAACCTGTAAAGCTTCCATGTTGACAGAACAGCTAAATATTAAATTGCTATGAGGCTGCCTGTAACTTTCATCTTCCCCAGAGCTGGCCACTTGGAGATACCCCTGTCTCCAGGCCTAAGGGTCTCCTAAGTCCTGAGAGAATAGCTTGGTTATGAAGCAGGGGAGGCCGGGGTTCAAATCCCAGCTCCGCCATCCAGCTGTATGGCCTCAGACAAGTTAAGTAACCTCTGTTTCAGTTTCGTCACTGTGAACCTACTACTTAATGTTGCTGTAAAGATCAAGTGGGCATGATGGCACATGCATGTAATCCCAGCACTCAGAAGGCTGAGGCAGGAGAATTACCATGAGTCTGAGGCCAGCTTGGGTTGACACAGTGGCATCCTGTCTCAAAAACAGAAACAAAACAGGGCCGGGGATTTAGCTTGGTGGTTCCACTGCCTGCTTTGCAAGTGCAAGGACTGGAGTTCAATCCCCGGTACCAAAAAACAGACAAACAAAAAAAACCAAACAAAACAATGAGCCTGTGAAGCCCTGTATGGAGAGCATAGGGTAGACCCTGGGTCTTGGGTATCAGTATCCATGGTGCAGACAAAAGTCCCCGCCTGAGTCCTATGGGAGTGGCTTTGTGGCTCCCAGCATGATTTATATCATAACTGTCAGCCTGTGATGAAAAAGAAAAAGAAACTGTTTTTGGGGATAAACTGAGCTCATACAGGAAGCCCACAGCTATGGCTGATCTGAGCACCAGGGCGCTTCCTGAAGGTCAGAGGTCAGCCCTGCATGACTGGCTTGGGCTGCAGGGAGGACAGTGCCCCACAGAACACCTCCTGTGCGCTCAGGGGCACCAGTGTGTCCAAGGAGGGCGGCGTGGTATCGGAGGAGGCAGCTGTGGGAGCAGGGCCTGGGGAACCAGCCCATTGGCCTTGGTGTATAAGCTCCTGGCTGGCAGGAGCCACGGGGCCAGTATCAGAAGAGGGTGTTGCCCCTGATGACACCAGTGATAAAGTCACCCCCTCTGGAACTCACCCTTCCTCTGTACCAGGGCACGGAGCCTGGCCATCAGAGTTGGGGCTGGATGTCACCTCTCCCTTCTGAGGCCAGGTGCCCTTGTTCAGAGAACAACTTATACAACTATATGGTGGTTTTGGAAGCCACTGTGGGCTCCTAATCCATACAAGGCCAGTAAGAGGGCAGAAATGGCAGTGCCCAGAGAGGAGCTCCAGAGTCCCCCGTTTCCACTTGGCTCCCCAGAGATGAGGGCTGGGATGCTCCTTGCCCCCAGTCACCACGTGGCTGTGCCTCCTCACTGTCTGTTTTCCTCTCTGGTGGGGCGCGGGGATCCCTAGGTGTCCAGCCACATTCAGGTTCTAGCTCGGAAGAAGGTGCGGGAGTACCAGGTTGGCATCAAGGTAGGTTGGGCGCCTGCCCGGGGCCTCCGGCTCCTCCCTGGGCGCCCCCACTGCTCTCCGCACGGCTCAGGCCTCTGCTCCGCTGCTCTCCAGCCTGGGCGCCTCTCCCGGCTGGGTCTCCACTCTCCTCTCTGCCTGTCTTCCTGTTCTGTTTCTCTTTCTTTCTCTCTCTCTCTCTCTCCAGGTCTCTAGCCACTTGCAGGTTCTAGCCAGGCGGAAATCTCGGGAGATTCAGTCCAAACTGAAGGTAGGGCCCTCTGTGCCCAGCTGGGGCCTGCCCAGCACCCTTGGGGGCCCAGGCCTGCAGGTGCCCTCAGGAAGCCCCAGGCGCACCAGGCTCCCCAGGCCCACAGTGGGGAGATGAGGACTGTCTAGGGTGCCAAAGCGCCCCACTTCACTCTCCTTTGTCTCCCTCCTCCTGCTTGCTGCTTGCATGGGGACCTGGGGACCGGAGGAAGCATGGGGTGGAACCTGCCAGGGCTTTGGAGGTGGCCGTGCAAGTCCCGGGCTGTCCGCTGTGAGGCTGAGGGGCCCAGTCGGAGTCCCTTCCTCCTGCCTGGGCTGGGCCCACGCTGGCAGGCACATGGCGGGCATGCCCCGGGGCCCCGTGCAGTGTCTTCTAACCTGTCCTCCTCTTCCCCCACAGGCCATGAACTTGGTAAGTACATGGTCCCCCGGGAGGGGCTGGACGGGCAGCTCAGCACAGGCCTGGGTTTAACTTGCATACAGTCTGAATGCAGCATTTATTTTGATTTGGTTGTTTTGAGAGGGTCTTGCTATGTGGTCCAGGCTGGCCTTGAATTCACTGTGCAGCGCAGGCTATTGAACTTTCAGTGATCCTCCCGCCTCAGCCTCCCTCCTGAGTTATAGGATTACAGGCGTGCACCAACATGCCCAGCCAAAAGCAGTGTTTGTGAAAAATGAGATACAGCCATGGCCCCAGCGTTCGCGTGGATTCCGTCTGGGCATTCTCACTCAAGGCTCTGACTCAGGAGTCTGTAGGAGCCTAGACACTGCCATCTCCCCACACGCTGAGGGAATAGGTGCTGAAGGATTCACCTGGCCCTCTTTGGATCCAGCCAAACTCAGAACAAAAATATTTGAAAAATAGTGTCTGAACTGAACGTGGACAGGTGATTTTTCTCTGTCATTTCTCCCCACATGATCTAATATAAAAATGATGTATGCCTGGTGACCCACACTTCTGGTCCCAGCTCCTGGGGAGGCTGAGGCTGGAGGGTCAGTTGAACCCAGCAGTTTGGGGCCAGCGTGGGCAGCACAGTGAGACCCCAAAGACACCCAAAGCCCCCCTCTGTGTACCTTGCATTAGGTGCTGTAAGTGATCTCACACAATTTGGAGCACATGGAGGATGTGTGCAGCGGTCTGTATAAATGCACCATTTTAAAACACAAGGGAGCTGGGCATGGCAGCGCACGCCTGTCATCCTAGCACTTGGGAGGCTGAGGCAGGAGGATCACGTTGAATTTGAGGCCAGCCTGGACTACAGAATGAGACTGTCTCAAACAAACCAACAAAATACAAGGGACATGCACACTCTGTTCGGGTGGTCCCCACGGACTGTGTCGTGGGCGGAGATGACACGAGGGGGCCCACACCGCGGAGCCAGGCGGAACCCAGACCTGGACCACAGAGCCCTTCCTGGGGCCTGGCCAGGTCTCACACGCCCCCGGGTCCCCAGGACCAGGTCTCCAAGGACAAAGCGCTCCAGAGCATGGCGTCCATGTCCTCAGCGCAGATCGTGTCCGCCAGTGTCCTGCAGAACAAGTTCAGCCCGCCATCGCCGCTGCCACAGGCAGTCTTCTCTGCATCCTCCAGGGTAGGGGCGGCGGGCAGCAGGTGGCGGGCGAGTGGGCGCTGGCGCGGGTCCTGAGGCCTTGCTTTGTCCCCCTGCAGTTCTGGAGCGGCCCCCACCTCCTGGGACAGCAGCCGGGACCCTCTCAGGAGTGAGTACAGGTGCCCCGTCCGGGCGGGTCGGTCCCGTGGCTTCGCGTGG